CCACCAAATAGACAATGACAATTTTGGAATTACACACTTTCCCTATCTATTATTGAAAATTTAAAAATGAAGGGTTGAAATGTAAAGACCTGAACAATCTGACTAGCATCAAGCTCAAATCCTTGGCTAGAAATCACAGAATCATAGAGCCTATTTCACTGATCGAATCTCTAGCTCTCATCCCTATACTCCAATATTTTTTCCCTACATCCAAAAACGATCTAAATCCCCACTCACCCGGCCGTGTTTCAGTGAGAAATAGAGTAAGGAAAGTGGTGAGATTGTTAAGGACATGACAAAATATTTGATGGTGGTGGTTTCAGGAGGGATGAATCAACAGAGAAATCAGATTGTTAATGCTGTTGTGCTTTGCAAGAATTTTTGGGGCGGCTCTTGTTGTGCCCATCTTGCAAGTTAATGTCATCTGGGGTGATGAAAGGTTTGTCATTTCTTGTTCCAATCTTTATTTTACATCTCACTTTTACAAGTTCTACGATTATTAATCTTTTAATTGAACCTCCCATTTTATGAAGTAAAGTCATTTTGTGCCCTTTAATCAATGAAATATTCTTATCATGTTTTGTCATTTCTGTTTGCTTTGGATAGCACTATTTTGATTAACAATACCACTCAAATTTTAACACTTATCAATTTGATAGATTGAAATTCTATTTGTTGGAGTATTAAGTTATAGATTGAATTTCCTTCTTTTATGATAATAGTCTTAGAGATTGTTTCTCAGTGGTTAAATCATTTTGTTTCTCTTGCGATTGTGCAGTGAATTTTCTGATATATTTGATTTGGAACATTTCAAGAATGTTTTGGCAAATGATGTTAGAATAGTTTCGTTGCTTCCTTCTACGCATTTGATGACAAGGCCGGTTGAGGAGAAAAGAACTCCACTTCATGCTTCTCCCGAGTGGACTCGCTCACGCTATCTTAACGGGTAAGAAAAGACATTTCGAATTATTTAACTGGCTTATATGTTTGTGGCTAAGAAGATTGGTGTTGGTATCACTAATATAAGAAGTAGAAAATATCTGAAAGAAGTAGTATGCTTTGGTGGTAGCTTAGTTTAGTGCTTTATCAATGGTCTGCAACAGATCAATAAACTCCTCGTTAAAGAATTCATTCCTTCTATGAATATGCTATAAAATATAGTCGGGTATAATTGTAATATGTAACGTTCTATTACAATTTTTCTGGTTATATATAAATTTTGTTCGTACATTCAATTTTAAAAAAATTTGCCCCATGCACGACACATTCCTGGCTCCGCCCCTGGCTGAAATGGAGTGGTTTGGGAAAATGGCAAGGGTTGGAATGGGGATTGCTGTTGCTGTTGTGGTTGGTGCTTGGTAAATGAGAACATCATTTGAGTTATGGTTTAAAACAATTCGTTAATTGAGAATGATTATCTTGAATTGAAGGGTATATCGTAGAAAGGTTAAGCTTTGAGAAAAAAAAAACTCAAAGTTAGGGATGAAGTTTGACAGTGTCAAGGTTCTAAGAGCTACAATTGTTCAACAATAGATAGTGAAAGTGTGTAATTCCGAAATTACCGTTGTCTATTTGGTAGAAATTATAATTATTTTTTTTAATTTCTGGGGTCAACTAACGATTTTCGTGGTCAAACGGACTGAAACCGTCAATGAGGACTGAAACTGCGATTTCTTGAAGGTTTGGTACCGTGGGTGGTACAAATGAAATGTTTGGGTAAAGTCCGAAACTAACTGAAAGATTTGGTACCTCAACTGCAATTTTCCCCAAAAAAGGGAGTACGTGACAAGCTTGGGCAATGGGGGAATGGGTTAATACTTAATTGTTTAGCTAAGCATTTGGTTTACAGTCAGAGAACGAATCAAATCTTTATTTGGTTTAGTAGGGATGAAAAAATTTATTTTATTTTTATATTTTTTCATAGAAATTATATTTGATAAAATAAAGAATAATAAATAACAAGGAGTTTTTTTTTAATCCCGTCCCTACCCCTACCCCCACCCTCGTCCCTTTGCCATCGCTACCTATTACTACACATGAATTGCACTACGATGACCACAAATAAAGCAAGAAGGATTATCCTTTATGTCTCTTCGATTCTTAAACATGTTAACATTGTTTAAAAAAATATATTTTTTAACAAAGTACATAGTAATAAAAGGACATGGTTGGTTTTAAATTTTTTAAAATACTTTTGACAATGAATATTATGCTAACTACCTTAGTTTTAAATTCTAAACAATTAATATTTTTTTCCCCGCTGCATAGTCATTTTCAACAATTAGTAGTATAGTCGTTGAATGATAAAAACTATTTTGGCGCTAAATTAGAGTTGCTGACCCAGTTGTTTTCAACTATCAACGACTAAAAAATCTTATCGTTGAATGTCGAATTTTCCTCAATTTTCAATAATGAGATACAATTAATCATTTTACTATATTAATGACCAGAAACTATGATAATTGAATATTTACTATCGTTCAATATCAACAAATATTTGGCGGGATTTCTTGATTTAGCGTCCACTCACAACGACCAATTTTATTTGGGTCATAGAAAATACATGATTAGCAACTAATTTTTTGTCATTATAACATATTTCCAGCTAATTCAAAATTTTATTATTCGTCATCCATATTTTTATGATCAAACTATTTTTTAAGTCGTTGAAAACAAATTTTTAACGATTGGATTGATTTGGTCGTTAAAACATTAGTTGTAAAATATCATTCTTCCTGCATTGTTAGACAATAGATTGAGGATTAATTTATTTGTTAGTAGTGACTAACTCCTTTTGAAAATATTAGAATTAACTTGCTCTTTGTCAGAAGTTGAAGTCCAATTTGCAACTTAGAGGATAGATTGAAGACTAGCGGTGGAATTTCCATGATAAAGAGGGGAAATTTGGACAATTAGTTTTCCTTTTATTCTGTTGAAATAAGACGCAGCAAAAGAATGTTTTCTTTATATCTTCAATTTTTTTTCGTAAATAAAATTTATTGCATATCCTGTAAAATATATTAAGGGCCTGTTTGGTAGTGATTTTTATTTTTCATAACATCAATAATTTTTTTTTCTTTTTCAACCACACATTTCCCATCATATCACTATTCAAAATCAATTCTTCTCCCAAAAAATCTCTACCAAACAAGTTCAAAGTAAGATGACGAATCTTGCTCAAAAAGAAAACTTAAAACTCGTTTAGTCGTGACTCTTTTATTGTTGAGAAAATAAAATATGTTTTATGTTTAAGAATGGGGAAAAATATAGTTATATGAATAATATTTTCAACGCGTTAATGCATTTGACTGGAAAATTCTTACGTACAATATCTGATGCAAAATGTACATCCATAATTTTCATTTTCTATAATTAACAGCGGCACCCCAAGTGGCATAAGCTGCCTGGTGCTTCACCGCCTTTATTTAGAGCCACCCACGTCGCCTCTTTCTTGCATTTGGTTCTGCAACCAGAATCATTCTCTGGATTCCCTTTCTCTATACATCATATTATCTGTATATATTCNTTTTTTTTTTTTTTTTTATGGAAATTATTTGAAACCCCAAGTTAACATGACATCAAATTTCCTAATGCAGAAAATAAGTAGGCATAAAAAACAAGAGTATGTTCTCTTTATCATTTTCAAGCCGTTTTCTGTTTTCGATTTTTCAAAACAGTGAAAACACAATCTCTTTCCTATTTTCGAAAACTCGTTTTTGAAAATAAGTTAAAAATTTATAACGGAAATCTAGAAGGTGTTTTCAGTTATAATCAAATCAAAATTTTCAAAACGTTTTTTAGGCGTTTTCAAAACAATTTTTCAAAATACCAAAAAGAACACATTTTCAACAATCTCAAAATGGACACTCAAAACACAAAACCCAAAATAAATTCAAAACACAAAACTAAAATACAAATAGAGCAGCCCCTAAGTATCCCATCGTTTCGAGGGATGCCGGAAACATCATCAATTGAAAAAAAAATACTAAAAGAAGCATTTATTTTTGCTACTTGGAAATAAATTAAAACTATTATTAGTTTAATCTTGTTTTCTTCTTCCTTCATGAAGTAATGACAATTCCATTTTTGCAACCCACTTTAATGCTTGGGAATCATATCTTCTTTTGATCATGCTATACGTACCGAATTTTTTAATCAAATCTTTTACTTACTACTCACAATGGGGATGGAGACCACATTGTCGGAATTTTTAAATATACACGGGCCTTGCGCATTATGTGAGAGAGGATAATCCATTATATACAAACTATTATGTACAAATGGATTAACCCATCTTCTTTTGCTCCTACCTCACGGAACTAGTAGAATTAAGTATCATACTGAATCAAACACAATACTACATAAAACTATTGATATGATGTGGTATGGTACGTAACTGATGTGGTTGGGCTCAACTATGTAGGATCGCATATTTCATTGAATTTAAAGTTCTCGAGTTGAGTTAATTTCAAAAATAAGCATGATAAATGTTTGTAACTTTTTCAAGAGTTCTATTGCCCTATTTGTGTATTCACTTTAATGCTTCAAAAGTTATTCTAATCTTATCTCACGAAATTAGTAGAAACAGCTATCGTGCTGAATAAGATACAACATATTATGATAGTATTAATATAATCTAACGTGATAATTGGATGATGAGACTCGATTAAATTATTTACTTGAATTAGGAGTTCTCTTGATTTTGACTTTTTTAATTTTTCAAGAGTTCAATTGGCATATTTGTGTTCTAGAATACCAATTCCCACCTCATCTCATAGCTAAGTGTATAGATAAGGATCTTTGGTCAACTCATTGCTAATTAATCTAGACATACTCCCCAAGCCTCCAATTTTCAAACTTTCAAACCCTCTTGGAACCCTCTAGGCCTTCAAAATTTCTTCTTCAACTCTATATAAAACCCCTCTTCTCATATCCCTTTTCATCTGACACCCATTTTTTTTTCCCTATCTCATCAATCAACATTCTCTAAACACAAACACATGGGAACTCTTGTGGGGCATGTGGCACCTGGATTTGGTTTCTTCATCATTGGGCTATGGCACTTGCTTAACCACATCAAGAATCATGCCATTAGCCCAAAATCCTACAAATCTTTGCCCTGGTTCCCAACTTCAAAAATAAGGTATTTAGAGCTTTTCTTGATTATGGCAGGCTCCTCCATGTCCATAGCCATGGAGCTCTTTATCGGCCCGGACCGACACCAACCGCTTGACCCCGACGGAACCATCCCTTCCAATCATCTCCACAATTTTGAACATTCAAATATTTCCATCACCTTTTTCATGTATGCAGCTTTCTCAATTCTATTAGATAAGCTTGCTCCTCCAGCAAATTATGGACTCACCTTTATGCTTGGTGCCATAGCCTTTGGCCAGCAGTTACTACTTTTCCACCTCCATTCAGCTGATCATATGGGGGTTGAGGGCCAATATCATTGGCTTCTACAAATTGCAATTTTTTCCTCCCTTGTAACCACTCTTTTGGGCATTAATTACCCTAAAAGTTTCTTGAATAGCTTTGCAAGGTCAATTAGCATTATGTTCCAAGGTGTTTGGCTTATGGTCATGGGTTTCATGCTTTGGACACCAGAATTCATACCTAAAGGTTGTTTCATGAACTTGGAAGAAGATCATCAAGTAGTCCGATGCCAAGGGGAAGAGGCCCTAGGGCGCGCTAAATCTCTAGTGAACATTCAGTTCAGTTGGTATGTTGTAGGCATGACAACATTTTCAGTATCACTTTATTTAATCATGATCAAACTCTATCCTCAAAAAGTTGAATACAGAGCACTATCGAAATTCGAAGAACTAGAAGAGGAAATTGAGGAAGATGTCGAGGCTCAGAAGAAAGGGAAATCCGAGGAGCCCAAGAGTACTTTCCTACAAATGGGAAAATCATTTGCTCCTATGGACATGGAAAGGTAGGTAAAAGGGTGTGGTAATTATGTAAAAATATTAGGTTTGGTGGGAATTCAGTTTGTTTAATCAAGACAAGAATAATGTTGGCTTAGTCAAACAAATCTCATGTCCCATAGGAACAATAGAATGTAAAGAAAAAACCAAGTGAAGTGGTTTTTTATTTTGTTTTTAACTTTTGTACATGTATGAATGTAGAAAAAGTGATTAATTAAAGGAGTATTCTTCTTAAAGGTGTGAAAAGATTGATTTATTTTCTTGTAAACTACAGAATTATGGAGTGTACTTATTTGATTTTGTTGTTGATATTGATTTGGTTATCAACGATCTTAGCAACTTAACTTTTTAGTAATTTTTTAGCTAAAGTGTTGAGACCATTCATTTTTGTTTATTATGGGCCTGTCTGGTCCTGCTTTTTGAAGCAAAAAAATTGATTTCATAGTCGTTATGTGTAAAATCAGACCTTTTTTTTATCAGCCATCTCAGAGGTGAGGTCTACCTTGGCAAAACAATGATCAATGTTTCAATTTTAAACTGATGAAGAATCAGTACTAGAAAAAAGGGATGAACATGCCAATCTCTCTTTCTGACCTTCATACTTGGTAAAATTGGATGTTAAAATGGCAATGATCAAGATGGAGAACCCCATGTCCGGCTAGATGATCTTCGATGTTTATAGCATTTCTTAGAGCTGACCTAAAAATGAAGAAACGTCTAGAAGTAGCTTCTTTAAACCAAATAAACCATGTCCAATGAATTTTGGTACAAGGCAAGTGCCTCGATCAGAGCAAAGCTCAAAATGGCCTAACCAAATAATTGTTTAGTCAAGCCATTAATTTAAAAATAATGTTTAAGTAAACATGAATAATAGGGTAAACTATACAAAACTTGAAAATGACCTCATCTACTATAATACAATAGTTCTTGGTTTTTCTAAAGGATTGGTTTAGTGTAAGCTTCCAAGAATTGTCACATTAATTGCCATTGACAATCCGTGTCTTTCTCACTCTACAAAAATAAGTTATTTTTCTCTTATGACTTTATAAGAATTGACTTTTTTATTTTTATTTGACCCCTCAACTATCGCAAAAAGCCGATTAGTTGTAGCTTTTAAAACTGATGTTGGCATCGATTAATTAAGGGGTATTTATTTACTTAAGTTTTAAATTTTTCAAGATTTATTTTTTATGCTTTTCAATAGTATGTAACACGTTTTTCGAAGGGTAGAATTGTCATTTTACATGACATTAACGGGAAATTTGGCCGGAAGTTGTTAGGAAGGACCAACTACATGAATTATTGATAAGTTGGGGATGATTCGACCAATTAAAATTTAATGGATATGACATTGAGGCCGAGTGAAAAGTGTGGAGAGATGCAATATTATGAACTCGATTTCTTAGATTTTAAGATGAGATGGTAAACAAACGCAATGAAAAAGTTTAGATACCCAATTTCTAGTATATATAAATTTGTACTGATCCTATACGAGTAATACTATCAACATAGTGTTAATTTCAGCAATGATCAGTTAAGTTTGAAAAAAAATTCAAAATGGCCATTTAAGTAATTTTTTTATGACAATAGTCACTTAAGTTTTTACGATTATACTGATTGTCACTTGGCAAGAAAAAATAACTTTAGATCATACATCATATTAGTGTCTAAGTTTCATAAATATTCGAATACGTATGTTTCAATCATGCTTTTTAATTATTGGAGCATGATTAAATTTGATGTATTGTATTTATTAACGTATAATGTGTTCAAGGGGAATTTAAGGATTTCGTGCAAGATTTTAAGTTAAATTTTCTAACCGAGAGATCACTAGTATAATTACTTCAACGGCAATTTTGAAATTTTTGAGAAACTTCAGTGACCATTCTTGAAATTAACCCAATGAATATAATTTGATAATTCATGATTTAGTATAAATAAATAAATAAAAATTCATTTCCGAATAGAGTTTAATAGTAAAACTCTTAGGTGGCAAGTTAATTCTTTTCTATCTCCATAAAGCACCATTAACGTCAAAGTAAAGTGGATGCAAATTCTTCATAAAAAATTGACAAGTCCCATCGTGCGAGTCAATCAATTTAATGCGGTCACAAATTGAATTATTTAATATAAAAATTAGATTTTTACCAAGTTAAAATAACAATAATTTATTTTTTAATAAATAAGTGTTCGGTTGAGTTTAAAATCGGATTAAAATTGAAAAATTAATAGTTATTGTTGACTTTCATTAAACGAGTGAGACCTAATAACGGCTATATTTTCAATTCTAATTGGATTTTAAACCCTACCAAACATGCTCTTAATAAATAAGTTTTGTATTCGCACTAGAATTGCATCTGATGAAGATTTTGTATTTCGAAGATTCAATCATTTGTAATAAAATATATTGGCAAAGCTCTATCTGACAGAAAAATTTCTGACACTCCACGAACGCATAATCAATTGAGAAAGGAAATAAAAGAGCTAAGAGTCCGTTTGATTACAAAGGTAAAATTTGGGTGGAAAGAAAATGAATTATAGGGAATTGAATTATCTAAAATTTGTTTTTACTGGGAATTATAATTAATTGTGTGTGATTGACATAATTTTTCACCTGAAAAATGTTGAAAGTTTAGTGTCATTTTGACTTCGTTTTTTCATAAAAATTGTCCATTAAAGTGATCATTTTTTTACCATTGGATCTATAATTTGTTCCAATTGTTAAAAAACATATATATTTAAAATTATCATATCGAATACCATCGTTTGACTTTGTTTTTCATAGAATACCATTCGTTTGGCTTCGTTTTGCATAGAAATTGTCAATAAAATTAATAAATTTTTTTACCATTGTGTTTATAATTTTTTCCAATTGCCAAAAAAAAAAAATTATATATATATAACCTGGAAAACCAATTTCCACAAAATCGTGGAATGTGGCACGTGTCAGACAAAAGCAAGAAAAAAAATACCATGGAAAAATCCAAAAGTATGAAATTGAATTTGAATTCCATTTTCCATGGAAAAGATTAGCCAATCAAACATGGTCTACATTACTTTAGATGTGATACTGCACCCAATTACCCCCACAAAACCATTTTGAACAAAGAACACATGGATAAGGGGGTGTTTGTTAATGAAATCCTTATAAATTTACCCGTTATTGAAGGTACCTAAATTTTAAAGAATTTCATTAAATTTTATTAAAATTTCAATTAAAGACGCCTAAATCTAGAATGATTTTTAAAACCCAATCTACCAAATTAAGGGGGTGTTTGTTTTTTATTCTCAAATTGTACAGTAAATCAATTCTCATTTTCAATCACACATTTTTCAATAATATATTTTCCATCACATCAATAATTTTTTCTTCTTTTTCAACAACACATTTCTCATCATATCACTATTCAAAAATCAATTCTTACTCCAAAAATCTCTAAATAAATAAAAGCATGTAGGCTGCGGAACTTAAGAAATTTTTAACTCTACAAAATTAACATTTTTATAAAAGCAAAATAAAATAACATATAAAAAATATATTCCAAAGTAAAAAAGTCACTTATATATCAACCATTGATGTCATGACAATGCTACATCAGAGGTTTATTTTATATCTCAAGCCGCCCATGAGCGAGAGATCAACTTATATATCAACCATTGATGTCAATAAGGGAGAAAAATAAAAACAAATAATTATGGGAACCAAATGATATTTCAAACCTGAACCAGAGACTTGAATGGGAAAAAAAAAAAAAAAAAAGTCATCCACCAAGGAATAGATTAAGCCCCTTGATTGGTAGAAATTAAGCCCTTGTTTGATAGTCATTATTGAGGAAAATAATATTTTGAATAGTGATTTTTCGGAGAACGTGTGGTTAAAAGGAAGTAAAAAGTTTTGAATTTATATACAAAATATTTTATTGCGTGAATATGTGCGTGAAAATGAATATGAGAAATAAAGAAATTGTTTTAAAGGCTTAAAATTCAGATTTTAATCTTTTAATTAAAGGCAATAATTAATTTCAAGCAAATATTTTATGAGACTCACTTTTAACCGCATATTTTATTAAGAGCTTGTTTGGTATGGATTTTTGGGGGAAGAATTGATTTTTGAATAGTGATATGATGAGAAATGTGTGGTTGAAAAAAAGAAAAAATTATTGATGTGATGGAAAATATTATTTTATTGAAGAATTTGTGGTTGAAAATGAAAATTGATTTACCGTAGAAAATCAAAATCCATACCAAACAGGCTCTTAACTTTTATCAAAATTTAGCCCTTATTTGGTATAAATTAAAATCCAGATTTTAATCTAAATCAAAGTCAAGAACCAATTATCATCACATATTTTATAAGATCCACAATTTTTTAATCACTCATTTCATCAACTTTTATCAAAATTTACTAAAATTCTGATTTTAATCCCACCAAATAGTTGCTAAGTTAAGGTTATACCATAACAATTAGAATGTAAAAAATAACTTATAAATTTAGTCAAACATGTTGTAAGAGTTATTTTTTAATTAACATTTTCACTTAAAAATAAGAGTTTAAAACCTTTGTTTGATACCTGTTATTTTCAAAATATAATTTTTTTTCTTTGTTATTTTCAACCACAGATTATTTAATAAAATAATATTACACGCAAACTCAAAACTTTTCATTATTTTTACCCACACAATCTTCAAAAAAATATTATTTCAAAAAATATTTTGGACATAAAATGGGGCACAAATAGGTGCAAATTTTACTTAAAAACAATTTTAAATTAATGAATTTTTTATCTTTAATTATTTGAAATCATGCAATTTGATGGTTTTCTTTGGATAATGCCTTGACCAATCTGCAGTCTGCGTACGGTATCCTCGAGAAGCCGGATAATAGCACTAGGTCAAAAACTTGTCATTTTTGTGGTGGTGAAAAATTTAGAAATGCAAAAACAAATAAAATCGCCGTTGCCGGGGATCGAACCCGGGTCACCCGCGTGACAGGCGGGAATACTCACCACTATACTACAACGACTTGTTTGCTAATCAACAAGAAATATTAGATATATTTCTTATTATATCTCTTTCGCGCGATTTTAAGAGACCGAGAATTTATCACAGATCGCTAAATTAGGAAGTTTTGAGCAATATATATGTACCACATTAATAATAGATCTACGTAGATGTCATGAGTATAATATATGCTATAACAAATGTGTGCTATTATATTTTATACCGTACTATAGTATGTCACTAAGTAACAGGTGTTCCCTAATTTCATTCCGGTCCTATAACATGTAAGAAAATGTTTCTTGATAAAGCTCTGTTTCACAAGAAAAAATTTCGTCACCGATTTGACTCAATTAATATGGAAAGGAAAGAGGTGAGCTAAAAAAACTTTAGAAGCGATACTTTACGTGATTATACTGTAAAGCCGTCTTAAGCAAAGGAATATGTGGATAAGTAGGCTTTTCTTGTAGAGCAATCTTCCGTCGAGTTCCCCCAACTTGAGCAATAATCAGGACAGCGAATTATCAATTTAAATAAATACGGAAATTTAAATGGAAATAAAAGAATAAATTCAATAACCCAATTTAAATTATATTAGAAGTATATGGAGATTATTAATTCTCTAGACTTGTGTGGAAAACGTTGGAGTTGTAAAGATGCATCAAACACTTCATAGTGGAGAAAAAGTAGTCATTGGCTTTTGGTTAAAAATGAATAACCTAATTCTGTGATTTTTGACTTGTATTTTTGCCAACCATATTCCACTACGTGGAATTACAGTAGTTTCCTAATTTTATTTATTTATTATTTTCATTTCTGATTCGCACTTTTAACGAGTGTTATATCTATTCTATTGTGTATAAATATTGATGGCCATTATTCTGAAGAAATAATATTTTTAATAGTGATTTTTTGGAGAATGTGCGGTAAAGTGTAGAAAAATTTTCGGATATACGTGTAAAAAGTTTATGATGTGATTGCATGATTGAAAATGAGTGTGAAAATAAAAGAAATTTGTTTTAAAAGGAATCAAACAGGGCATAATATTTTCTCGAGTAAATGTACCCTAATTTAAAGCATAAAAAATAGATTAATTTTAACTAAATAAAATCAAGAAAATTTAATAATTAATATGAACTTTGTAATCAGATGTGTTGTAGGCAAGATGAGTTTGAATTGAGACTAAGAATATAACTTTTTTCTCTTATGACATTAGTCAGGAGTAGATCCAAGATCGAACCATATTTTACAGATCCAAGATCGAACCTTATTTTAAGTCAAGTCAATATTTAAAAAAAAAAAATTACAAGTGAAAACATTTTTTTTTACCTATAGAAAATTCAAACGGGGGAATCCCCTACCACCGGTATTAGTAGTGCAAATTACAAGATACAGCGAACCAACAACGTTTTGTAACCTAATTCCTACAAAATGGGGCTTGAGTGGAACATAAAAATTGCTTTCGAGCAATGGTGTAGAAAGGAAAAATGAGCGAGAAATTTTGCAAATGAGATAGATGTGTCTTGTCTCAAAGTACATGTCCATCTTTTAACTGCATTTAGATAAAATTGCTAAAACTTGTTTGTTTATGTAGTAAATATATACTAGGGTAATTGGCACATAATGTTCTCACCTTTCACTGTTATTGTAGAAAACGTCCACACCTTTCATTTTTTGACATTTTCACCCTTATTTTCACTTTCATTGCGCAAACGATCATTTTTATCCACGTTCTTAATTAAAAATTGTGAAATGACGAAAATACCATTTCCTTTAAATAAAACAAAAGGAAAAAGTAAAAACTAATTGCAAACATAATCCCAACTTTTTTGAAAAGCGCAAATGAGTTTCAAATAAATTACTAAAATGATAATTAATACACAATGTCCATACCTTTTATTGTTATTGTTGAAAACGTCCTTACCTTTCATTTTTTGGCCTTTTCACTTTTTCATTAACATTAAATTTAGTCGCGTTATGTGCTAATTACCCTACTTACCTATGACTTTTCATTAATATTATTTAACCAATTTCTGACTTTAAAATTTTCACTTTTTCAAGTTTTTAAACAACCACTGCGAACCTTTTCCATTTGGCTCTACTTTCACGTGAGAAAATGATAGGATATTTATTTATTAATTAATAAAACATTAATAATATATTATGCTCACTGACGATGCTACTTTTCCCCACATTGTGTTGTCTGCCTTCTAATTTGGCGCCTTGGAATCCATACAATAAGGTTTGATTCCTCAACATGCTCAAACCAAACCTAAAATATTCAATAAAATAAAATAAAAAAAGTTTGCTTTCAGACATGATTTTTATTTATTTATTTTGATTAAAGGGAACAAACAATAATGCCCTGATACTTTTTCTTTCATTGCTTTCTTCACGTGTAAATTCATCATTCGAAGCTCAAAATCCGAATTTATCCCGACTATAAGTACGCGGTGTTGTAGTTTATCACCCATCATCAAAGCAAAACAAGCACCCCAGAGGAGATCCATACACCAAAACTACTATCTCAAGTACAAGAATATGGAACATCATCAAGAAGCTGGTTCAAATGGAAGAAGATGCCGAAAGAGTAATGAATGTGTAGAGAAAGACGACGAGAGAAGAAGAATGGCGAGGCAGGAGGATGTAAACAAAATGGCCGATGAATTTATCAACAACTTCAGGAAGCAGCTGAAATTTGAAAGAGAAGAGTCTCTCAAAAGATACCATCAAATGCCAGCCAAGGGAACCTAAATCAGAATCCATGTTTGAATAAATCTCGTACCAATTACCTATTCTCGAGCTTTTCATGTAATCAAGTTATGTGATACATATTATCAGAAACAATTTACAATTATCTTAAGCAATACTCTAGTTGGATTAGGGTCTTTTTTTGCTTCTATTTTTTGTTGAAAACTCTTCTAATTAGACAAAGCACTTTCAGAAAATTATTCGAACTGTCTTAAAGAAGATTAAGGGTTGTTCTCTTTGTGTTTTAATTTTATATTTTGAGTTTTGAATTCATTTTGGATTTTGTATTTTGAGAGTTCATTTTGAAATTGTTGAAAATGTATTCTTTTTGACATTTTGAAAATTTGTTTTGAAAACACCCAAAACGCGTTTTGAAAATCTTGGCTTGATTATAATTGAAAACACCAAAAACGACAATTGTCGTTTTGAATTTTTCTTTGTAAATTTTTAACTTGTTTACAAAAACGCGTTTCTGAAAATAGGAAAGAGAACGCGTTTTCACTATTTTGAAAAATCGAAAACAAAAAAACGGCTTGAAAATGGTAAAGAGAACACACCCTTGATCTCAAAAGAAGCTTTTGGATGTTCAAAATCCATGCCAAACAAAACCAACCTTTGTTTGCATCAAAATGACTTCAAACCTGCGAAGTAGTCTCGTTTTTCAACTTTTGAAACCTCGAATGTGTATACAAAACATCGGTAGGTGAAAGTTGGACTAAATGCTGAGGAGTTTTCAAAAGGTCGTCAATAAAATCTAACCTAATTGACCATAATTCAACGTGCTACAACAATGCATTTGTCAATTTGTTTGAATCTAATTTTCCTCTTCTTCTACTAACACAGGAAAATAAAATGACATTAAAAATAAATATTAAGAAGCCATAAATCTGAGCAAGCAAATGAAGTGACATAACTGATTTAGGAAAAATATAACAGTTGTTCACTACTCTCAACATTCAAAATGCCACTTGTATTCACAAAAGATCTTCAAGACTATAAACTACCAACAACCCTTAAGAAACAAACAGCTAAGGAGACAATCAACAAACATGTACAATATATTTGCTCTCTCTTTGAATAAAAATATAACCTTACCTCATATTTCTGTTCTGTGTGTCATGCTCCATTCAGAATTCCACGTTTACCTACTGAAGGTTGAAATAATCTTTTCTTTCCAGATCAAACTTCCATCTGCAAGCTGATGATGAAGGTTCGTTGTTCCCCTATATTCAAGACTCCCGAATGTTCTATTTTCCACATGTTGCGTATAGTCACTCATTAAACCTCCGCATAAAATATAGACTTAACAAAGTAAACCAATAAAGGCAAGTATTGAATTAAAAAGTGCAGAAACCAAAATTGATAATCTGCGACAACAAATGTAGTCAGATGGAGAAAGTGAAGCCCAACTTCTAAAAAGCATGAGCAACAGGGAGGCCTATCACCTATCTTATGCTTGAAGAACCTGACAGTGTACGATGTGACTCTTTAATCCACTTCGCCCAGCTATACTTGACCATAAATTTGTGAAGAGTGACCTCGAATGACCTTTACTGGCAATATTTTCCCAAACATTAGGATTGGTCTCCACTCGTTTATCAGGATTTGAGACATCAACCATACTGATGCTCATATTGTTACGGATGATACAGAGCTTATCGTTCAAAGGAACAAGAGCAGCAGCCTCTAAAGCACGAGAATTGCCAAGGTGGAGCTTGCTATCAATAAATCTGTTCCAAGAATTTGTGGCTTCATTATATACTCTAAGCTTACAACCATCACGACAGTCCAGAGCATACAGCTTCCCATTCATAGATATACTCGGGTTGCGCCATCCAGCAACCATCCCATCATTGACCGTAGTCCATGTATTGGTTTCTGGGATATACGCTTCACTCAAAACCTCTCTGTGTGATCCAAGTCCTTTTAGGTACCACTTGCCATCATAAACTACCCCAATAAAGGGAACCATAGCCGTGCTCATATCAGCGACAAAACTCCAGCGGTTTCTGTTGGGATCATAAACTTCAGCTGAACGAAGTGTCCTCTGGATACCTTCACATTCTCCCCCAGCAATGTAGAGACAGTTATTAATGACACAAGAACCAAAGAAATGCCTTTTACGAAGCATGTCTGGTGCTCTGTGCCATTTATTTGTCCTAGCACTGTAAAAGATCACGCGCCTCATAGATCCCTTTAATGGATCTTTTCCTCCAAACAAGTACAGGTGGCAACCACTTACAACAGCACTGCCAAATCCAAGTGCCGAACTATACTCCACTGGCACAGGTGGAAGTGGCTGCCACATTTGATAGGTTGGGTCAAAAGCATGCCATGAGATCCGTCCATCACGATCTCTTTTTATGACATATACCCACTCTTCAGCCATGCCAAGACTTTTTCTGAGAGAGTAAAAGAAATTTCCAGCCAGGAGCTTGTACCATCTCTTGCAAACTAGACGCAACTTATTATGTTCAACACGAGGCACTCGAATGAGACAAGCAATCGCAAGATCATCAGGAAGTCCAGGCAGGAGCGGTGGCTGCACTCTGGTCCTCTCTCTGCGGGAGTTCTTTTTCTTGTGTGCATGAGGACTTATATCGGGTTGGATGCAGATTTTTGATCCTGGGACAAATTTTCTTGCCCCAACAACAGTTTTTAAACCTGAATCGACCTTACAATAGCATGATACTGAATCAACCTGCAAATAATTCTTGGTTATGATATCAAATATTATACACACAAAGAAGATATTTTCAGGTCAATACAAGAAATCTTGTGAAGCTAATAGAAACTTTGCCGGTTTTTCCATTTGTATAACTGAGGTTTTTCTTCTATGTAGCTCCAACTCTGCTTATCATGCCATACCCATATCCAACATGACCATGGATATTTGTCCAAAATGCCTTTTGAAATGGCACAACTTTATGACATTTGAAATGAGTCCCACACTAAGCCATAACTATAATTTACTAATTTGTTTTTTTTTTAAAAGAGTCTCCTTTTATTCTAAGTTTTCAGTTATATTATATATAATTTCTTGAAAATGCACTGCTCATTTCCCTGCTGACAGAATTATGTAAAACATCTTAAGAGTGTCCCAATTAATTTACTAATGTCGCAAATAGAATGTGCACATAACGAAGAAACCTGGACAAACATCTGAATCATGCAACATAACTTTTGGAGGGTTGCACTTTTTTTATTGTGTTGATGTCTATTTTTTTCACTGTATTCACTGTCTACATTAATTTGAAGAGGGGATGTTATTAACATGCTTTCTATCTACTGCTTGACAATTGTGGCCGAGCATAGGAACCAACCAATACAGTTTAAACAGGTAAAATAAACCTCTGTAATTCATTTAAGGATTTTATGAATCTATGACAGTAGGATATCTTTTTAAGTGTACATTGAATTTACAGATGGTCAGAAGTGTAAATACTTTGAGAACTGCCCGAGTTATGGAACTTTAAATTGATACTCAAATAACTCAAACAAGTGAAATGGTTGTCTTTTATTTTCATCCATCTCATCCACATTTTTCAAAATCTTATCAGATAAGTCGGGGCCCAAACTACCCTTTTCTGTTCCATAGTTAAATAATTAAGGTGTTGTTTGACAAAGCTTATGATAGTTTTAGCAGATTTTGACAAAAGTTGATGAAATTTGGGGTTGAAAAGTGGATAAAAGTGGTAGGTCTCATAAATGTGTGGTTAAAATTGAATTTGACCTTTAGCAAAGTTTTATCAAACAAGCACTAAGAGCCATCTTCGCTATGTATGAGGTGATCCTAGGTTCTATGAAAATTGATGGCTTGTTTGTAAGGAAGAAAGGTTCGAGTAGCAACCCCACTGGATCCAATGTGTGTTGTGCCCGAAATAGAAGTTGGGAGAGATTTTGTACGAGCTGATGCTGCTTAAAATGCATTCTGGGGCTGTAGTTGGGTATGTGCATAGAAAATTAGTACTCTTCATATGGAAAGACTGCCATTTATCATTCTTTTGAAGACAGTCAAAAGAAAAGAGATGATGAAAGCAAGCCCTAGAATGAAGTAAAACAAGGGAAGGGTAACTAGAGAAATTTGAAAACCTGAAAATTTCACCATGAGCATCATCATAGTAAAAAGTGCATTTCAAGATAGACCAAGTTATCAATAAAAGGCAAATTATACAAAGAAGTTTTACATCAATATCAACACTAAAAAAAGAGTAGGAATGACTTGCATTGAACACAACTAATAATTCTTCTTCTTGTGTTTAAGCTTTCTAATTTTCCCACAAATAAGAAGAAATCATGCTAACAAACAAATAAGGGAAACCTGCAGAAAATTTCCAATCTAGATTCTCAAAAGGCCTTTCGACCAATCCCACAGGAAATAGATTCTGCACACCAATGACGATTTCCCCCAGCACGAATCTTTTTGCTACGTGAAGTTATAGCCGTATTAACCAATTGCCCTACCATGACATTCTTGAAAAAACCAAACTTACGAAAGGGAAAAAACAAGAAATTTACGTGTTAATTCATTTTAATTTAATTATATTTCAAGAAAGGGGCCATTTCTAAAGATTCATACAACCTATAAACAGTCCGTCTGAACAGAATTGCGTAGACAAAATTATTGATAACTCGAAGTCAAAATTTATTGGAGATTTCACCTTCAACGTACAATTCAGCTGGGTATTTTCAAAATTCATGAACATACAAAAAGACCCACAAAACAAATTCATCGAATATCTTCCATAAAACACATAAATTCAAGAAATTATCAGCAGAAAAAGCCAAAGATCAAATTGGGATTTACCAGTGGAGCTTGAACTCTAAAACCCCTGTGTGCATTTGGTGACCTCTCAATTGTTTGCTCCATAATAACATCAAACCTGCACCTAATTTCAAAGACTCAGATCCAATACTCTCAAAAGAAAAATCTTGAAATTGAAAGGCCCAAAAGAGAGCTTTTTAGACCCTTTTACTAACTCTGCAAAGGCAAAAACAAGAAT